AAGCCAACTCAGCTGATTATCATTACTATCCCACTAATATTTGGGCCGAAAAATTCTGAAACGATTAAATTACGAGTACCTTAGTGTTTATCTATAATTCGTGAGAGTTTCATATTGTCTCGTTTGATGGACACATACATCACTTCATATACGCTATTTTAGGGGCTAAAATTTATTTTTAGGGGTAACGGATATAATAGATTCAATTGGTTGTTACATATACTGTCCTAAATTTGTTAATGTATAGAAAATTTTGAGTTTGATATGAGGAGTGAGCGAAATAAAGCGGGTCGAATATTAGCATAAGGGAAAGTCCAGCACGAAACATTCCCAAAAGCAAGGGACTCCGTCGATACCTTAGTTTTATAATATTTCGCTTCTTCCCATTGTTTTAACTGGCTCTTGCTACCTCTCGCCACTTTCCGAAACACTAACACAGTTTCCTCCACGCCTACGTGGACGTTTCTCTCCATATACGTGAAGATGGGCACCATTTACACCGTTTTTAACACAACAATAAATTCATCCACCAGACTGAGTACGTGAACAAAAAATTGCAAAAATCACTGCCTGTTGGATATTTACCTTTATTTCCACAAAGCAAAGTCAGCAACGAAACGTTTTGAACACTCTTGAAGTCCGCAACTGGCACTCCTCTTATTTTTTACAGTATTTCGCCTTGTTTACCTACACGTTGAGGGGGCCATGGAGCCTCGTAAAGTAGAATCTCCTTGCATTTCACCCCCTGGGAGTGTAATATACTACTATATCCTTGTATATAGTAGTGTATAGGGTGTCATGGCACTCTGTGGCACTGGTGGTAGGTGTTATAAGGGTGAGGGGTAGACAGTGCCAGCTGGTCTTGCCTCCAGTGCCATGGGACGGTCGCTTTTAAAGCCAAATTTCCCCGACATACATTGGGCATTTCTCTTCCAGTAATATAATTCCGTAGGACAGACAGCAGCTTGTGTTAATGTTACTGTGTTAGGAGGGGGGGTAGAGGGGGGAGGGTATCTACACTGTGGGGGTGGGGAGGGGAGAGGTGTTTTACACGTGTTGTGAGGCATCAGCTGAGAGCTGTCAGGCTTGAACAACACACGTGGTCCCCACACAGCTGTTTCTGTGTCACTTTCTAATGTTCTGTTTCACAGGATTCCATCTCGTTCACGTCCTGTCAGAAGAGAATCTCTCTCTCTCTCTCTCTCTCTCTCTCTCTCTCTCTCTCTCTCTCCTCTCTCTCTCTCTCTCTCTCTCTCTCTCTCTCTCTCTCTCTCTCTCTCATGTTCGTAACACGTTCTGGGAATTCTGAATGTGTTATTGTAACAGCTTACGAGTGGGGGAATTGTGTTCAGTGGAGATGAAAGCTCGGGAGTGACCTTATATTAGCAAGGTCATGTCTGGGGGCGCTTGCAAGGTCACCAGACGATACAATGTCAGGCATTTCATTCATTCCACACACTTGCTGCGGCATATGAGCGCCTGGGAAACCAAAGAATAGCATTTCGACTCTGTACACCGTGTACGTCAGGCACTGTACACCGTGTACGCAGGCCCACATTGGAGTATGAAACACCACTATGGAACCCACACCTGGTCAAGCACGTCAAGAAACTAAAGACATTGCAAAAGTTTGCAACAAGACTAGTCCCGGAACTAAGAGGTACGTCCTGCAAGGAGAGGTTAAGGGAACTCAACCTGTCAACACTGGAGGACAGGAGGGATAGGGGGGATATGATAACATATAAAATACTGAGAGGAAGTAACAAGGTGGACAGAGACAGAATGTTTCAGAGATATGCATAGCAACAAGGGGGATACAACAACAAGGGGACACAGCAACTAGGGGACACAGCAACAAGGGGACACAGCAACAAGGGGACACAGCAACAAGGGGACACAGCAACGAGGGGACACAGCAACGAGGGGACACAGAAACGAGGGGACACAGAAACGAGGGGACACAGAAACAAAAGGACACAACAACAAAGGACACAGCAACAAAGGGACACAGCAACAAAGGGACACAGCAACAAAGGGACACAGCAACAAAGGGACACAGCAACAAAGGGACACAGCAACAAAGGGACACAGCAACAAAGGAACACAACAAAGGGACACAGCAACAAAGGGACACAGCAACAAAGGGACACAGCAACAAAGGGACACAGCAACAAGGGGAAACAACTGGAAGTTGAAAACTCAGACGAATCACAGGGATGTTAAGAAGTATTTCTTCAGTCATAGAGTTGCCAGGGAGTGGAACAATCTGGAGAGTGATGGAGATCCATACATAGTTTTAGGAAGAGGTGCGATTAAGCTCTTGGAGCAGAGTGGACCTGGTAACAACCAGTGAAGAGGTGGGGCTAGGAGCTGTGAATCGACCCCTGTAACCACAAATAGGTGAGTATATACACTTAGCATATGGTTCAAAGATGGCGGGTATTCCCATATGTGGTTGAGAGCTGTGACGTCACGTCACATCACACACACACACACACACACACACACACACACACACACACACACACACACACACACACACACGCACACACACACGCACACGCACACGCACACGCACACGCACACGCACACACACAATACTAAGAGGAATTTACAAGGTGGACAGAGACAGGATGTTCCAGAGATGGAACTCAGAAACAAGGGGTCACAGTTGGATGTTGAAGACTCAGGTGAGTCACAGGGATGTTACTAAGTATTTCTTTAGCCATAAAGTTGTCAGGAAATGGAATAGTCTGGCAAGTGATGTAGTGGAGACAGGAACCATACATTGTTTTAAGACGAGGTATGGTAAAACTCATGGAGCAGGGAGAGAAAGGACCTAGTAGCGATCAGTGAAGAGGCAGGGCCAGGAGCTATGTCTTGACCCTTGCAACCACAAATAGGTGATACACACACACACACACACACACACACACACACACACACACACACACTGCAAGAAGGCTTTCGACACAGTTGCACACAGGAGATTAGTGCAAAAGCTGCTAGGCCAGGCAGGTGTAAGAGGGAAGGCACTGCACTGGATCAGAGAATACCTGACAGGGAGAAAACAATGAATGATGGTACGTGACGAGGTGTCGGAGTGGGCGACTGTGACGAGCGGGGTACCACAAGGGTCGGTCCTAGGACCGGTGCTGTTTCTGGTATATGTGAATGACATGACGGAAGGATTACACAGGTATCCCTGTTTGCAGACGACGTGAAGTTAACGAGGAGAATTCAAGTGGATGAGGATCAATCAGGACTACAAAGGGATCTGGACAGGCTGCAGACCTGGTCCAGCAATTGGCTCCTGGAGTTCAATCCCACCAAGTGCAAAGTCATGAAGATTGAGGAAGGGCAAAGAAGACCGCAGACGGAGTACAGTCTAGGGGGCCAGAGACTACAAACCTCACTCAAGGAAAAAGATCTTGGGGTGAGTATAACACCGAGCACATCTCCTGAAGCGCACATCAACCAAATAACTGGTGCAGCATATGGGCGCCTAGCAAACCTCAGAACAGCATTCCGACATCTTAATAAGGAATCGTTCAGGACCCTGTACACCGTGTACGTTAGGCCCATATTGGAGTATGTGGCACCAGTTTGGAACCCACACCTAGCCAAGCACGTAAAGAAACTAGAGAAAGTGCAAAGGTTTGCAACAAGACTAGTCCCAGAGCTAAGAGGTATGTCCTACGAGGAGAGGTTAAGGGAAATCAACCTGACGACACTGGAGGACAGGAGAGATAGGGGGACATGATAACGACTTACAAAATACTGAGAGGAATTGACAAGGTGGACAAAGACAGGATGTTCCAGAGACTGGACACAGCAACAAGGGGACACAGTTGGAAGTTGAAGACACAGATGAATCACAGGGATGTTAGGAAGTATTTCTTCAGCCACAGAGTAGTCAGGAAGTGGAATAGTTTGGGAAGCAATGTAGTGGAGGCAGGATCCATACATAGCTTTAAGCAGAGGTATGATAAAGCTCACGGCTCAGGGAGAGTGACCTAGTAGCGATCAGTGAAGAGGCGGGGCCAGGAGCTTGGATTCGACCCCTGCAACCTCAACTAGGTGAGTACAACTAGGTGAGTACACACACACACGCGAGCCAGGAGGTAAGACTTGACCACAACAACCACAATTAGGCGAGTACACACACACAACACAAAACACACATACATGTACACATAACACACACACACAACACACCACACACACACACACACACACAACACAAACACACTACGACACAGCACACTAACACACATACGAGCCAGGACTAAGACACAACCACAACATACCACATAGGCAAACCACACACATATACATGTACACATAGCAACACACACACACACATAGCTTTAAGCAGAGGTATGATAAAGCTCACGGTTCAGGGAGAGTGACCTAGTAGCGATCAGTGAAGAGGCGGGGCCAGGAGCTTGGACTCGACCCCTGCAACCTCAACTAGGCGAGTACAACTAGGCGAGTACGTACACACACACACACACACACCACACACACACACACACACACACGAGCCAGGAGGTAAGACTTGACCACAACAACCAAATTAGGCGAGTACACACACACACAACACAAAACACACATACATGTACACATAGCAACACACATACATACACACACACACACAACACACACGAGCCAGGAGCTAAGACTCAACCACAATTAGGCGAGTACACACACACAACACAAAACACACATACATGTACACATAGCAACACACACATACGAGCCAGGAGCTAAGACTCAACCACAACAACCACAATTAGGCGAGTACACACACAAACACACATACATGTACACATAGCAACACACACACACACACACACACACACACACACACACACGAGCCAGGAGCTAAGTCTCAACCACAACCACCACAATTAAGCCAGTAGACTCAACACGTGGTTGAGAACATTCAAAGATGGCGGGTGTTCCCATACGTGGTTGAGAGCTGTGACGTCACACCTCAGTCACAACAAAGATGGCGAACATGTCGGGTGGAATGTACCAACAAATGGTAGTGCCAGCACCTTACCACTTCCACCAGCCTCAACCACAGCCCATGCCGGCGGTGCCGCAGGCTCCGGAGCCCAAGAAGGAGCCCAGGAAGCGCAAGAAACCCGCCGAGAAGGTCAACGGAGAGAAGAAGAAGCCGAGAATCATCGGTCAGACAGCGTACCTTGCAGGGTTGAGATTGGAAGGTGTTGCAGGGGATGGCACTGAGTGCTCTAGATGCAACAAGAAGAAGTGTTTTAAGCACGCTGATGCAAAGTAAGTGCCACCTGGGGGCCCCCAACGCATGGGCACTCTCCTATGGGGGCCCTGAAGTAGTTGTCTCGGGGTTTTATGACGGGTCCTGGACATGTCTTCCAGACCCCTGTTAAGTTGTTCTTGTTTTTAGGGGCGGTAAACCCTCAGGGGTCGTGTCTTGGTGCCCATCAGGAACTCCAGGTGCCCTAGTATGGGGGCCCCATGAGAAGGGTTTATGACGGGTCCTGGACACGTCTTCCAGACCCCTATTAAGTGGATATTATTTTTTGGGGTGGTAAACCCTCAGGGGTCGTGTCTTGGTGCCCATCAGGGGGCTAGTCACCCTAGGAACTGCACCTGTTCAGCTCTTCCTTGGATCAAAATTGATTGCCTCACCCCCTAAACACTGACCCCACACAGGTTTAGCTCTTCCATGTGAACGCAGAAATATCAATAATTACCACGACTCAACGTAACTCCGGCATTTGTGTACATTTGTTTACATTTTTTACATTTGTGTACATCGTACAACACCACTGTAGGTGTACGCTGGGGAATTAGCAAACATTTTCCCCGCACAGTATTTTTGAGTGACAGCAAAACTCGTACATTTGTGCATCGCGACCGAAATCGTGCTCGATATTAAGTCGTGTCTTGACCTTGACAGTGTAAACGGATCTGTATGACCCTTGTGGGTTTAGCACTTCCGATTATAATATAATGGAGATGTGGCAGCACCGATAGTGAACAAGGTTAAGTTAGGTAATGTTACTTGAGATTACACTTTTTTTTTTCGACTTGCACACCTTATATCTGTAAACCCACCTATTATACGATTCAAACAATAACGGTGAAAGTTCGCCGAGTAGTGGTCATCTGTTACCATAATAATGGTAATAATAATAGTAATAAGTAATAATAATAATTAGTAGTAATAAGTAATATGATGGCTGTAAGGCCCTTCTGGGTTTAGTTTTAATACTAACAGTACTGAGGATGTGCTAGGTTAAGTCATCATAACACCTCCGTGTATCAACAAAACTCGCAATTTATCACAATTTTAAATCAACGTAATTTTTTTAATTTCTACAAGAAATTTAGATATATTTTAAACTGACAACTTTATTGCTGTAATAAGAGTAACCAGTGCTGTGTAACCCTTGTGGGTTTAGCGCTTAGTTTTGATTGTAATTATAGTACCTGTCACTAGAATATATTACTCCTACAGTAATTTTCATTTTAATTTTTGTAATAAAGTTGGTAGAATTACCGACAATATGTAAAGTAAAACGACACAAGTGCAACTAATGTGACATTTTTATTGTGGCAACGTTTTGCTCTCCAGGAGCTTTGTCAAGCCATTACAAACAGTATATGGACAGAGAGGGTATATATAGGCTCAGTGAGGTGCAATACTAGTAGTAGTAGCAGCGATATAAGTAGTAGTAGTAATGCAATATGTTACGACAATTAACTCGCACATGAGTAAAAGGATATAAAAGCTATAACTTGGGTAATATAAAAATACGTTAGACAAATATTTCTATGGGAGGCTAGGTAGAGAAGGCCTTTTTCAATGCTCATTCTCTGTAATGTGCTTGTGTAGTATTAACAGGAGAGACTATGTGATGGCAGGGTTTACTGTTTTCAGGAGGATTCTTGCTAAGACTTCAGAGATGGTGAAGCTGCCGTTTTGTTTAATTTTTTTAGAAACAGCTATTAGTGAAGATTCAAGGCACTTGTGTCTGCGGAAATTAGTTTCTTTGATCACTGAATTTCACGAGATGATTGGTGTAATTTCGGTGTTGTACACAGGCGTTGTTCAAGTTATCGTTCCTACATGTGTAAATGTGTTCATTGAGGCGGGTGTCGAGGTTTCTTGCTGTTTCACCTACATAAATCTTATCGTAACCTCCGCAGGGTATAGTGTAAACCCCTGCGTTGACTGGTTCATGGTGCTTGGATTTTGTTCTGGTTATATCCTTTATTGAAGCGCTGGAAGCGATGGCGACTCTGGTGTTAGCTTGTGAAAGTACTTTAGAAACGTTCAGTGCAACCTGGCTGTTGGGAAGAATTATAACTTTGTTAGAAGTGGTGTTGGTGCATGGAGAATTAATGATCTGAAGAGCTCTTTTCTTGCAGTCTTTGATGAAAAAGAAGGAAACTGTAAATCAGTCAAGAAACATTCACATTTTAATTTAAGCCTAATTTGGAATAAGCCTAATTTGGAATATGTACATACCTTACCTGTGATGTACCTTTGACGAGTTTCAAGATTTCTTTACTCCTGGAGCTCAGCCATGGGCCAGGCTTGTCTTGTGCTAGCCTGATCAACCAGGCTATTGCTGCTGGAGGCCCACTACCCCACATATCCATGTGGGTTTAGCATTTTTTCAAATACATATTCACATAATCCATTCCCCAGGCTCTGCATAACCAAGGACTTTCTATATAGCACAGTATGTCACTGATATCAGCTAGGTCTTTATAAATTTTATCATGTACTTTAGAAATAAATATTATACATGACCCCCATGATTTTTATAATTAAAAAACTAATGAATTTAATTTCTCTGCAGAAATAAGAATCAGATGTCAAAAAAGACCCCAGAAGACACAGTATTACAGATGAAGAAACACATGCTGAAGTTGCTCTCGATGCACGACTACACAGTATTTTGCAAGGCAGAGAAGAATGGCCAAGTAGACGTTGACATCTCCAAGATGCATCGCTCCTACCTGGAGGAGCACGAACCACAGGCCTTTGAACCACCGCCCTCTAATGGTTGGCATTTCTCTAAGAGATAAATACTGTATGTTTTTAATGTCTTAAGATTATTACTTAGATTTTCACTCATTTGAGTTAGCTGCTTTAACTTCTAAGGTTTAAATATTAAGATATTATGAGAACCTCAGTGGAAATAAGCCACTGATTTTTGGGTTATCCTAGGTAATTTTCATTATGTATAACTGTTATGTTATGGATTTGAGTGGCTTTTCACACGAGTTAATAGGGTTATCAAAGCTTACTCCTTGGGTAGCATTGAAAATGGGTTAGGCAAACATTTTTGTTAGTGGGTTTGAGAAAGACTTGCCAAGTATGGGCCAGTAAGTCTGCTGCAGTGTTCTTTTTTTTCTTGTGTTCTTATGTAGTAATAAAGGCTTATACAGTTTTGTGTGACTTTTCATCCCCACGTCAGCTTGCTGTCTTGTTCAACATGACTGTTACTGTACAATAATATACTGGTAGAAAGAGGCATCAGATTTTGATTGATCAGGGTGGAGGTGTTGCAGTTATTGGAGGTGGAAAATACATTGCCCAGATTGTGAATAATGGGCAGTGGTGGGAAATACAGTGCCCAGACTATGAAGGATGGGCAGCAGTGGGAAATACAGTGCCCAGACTATGAAGGATGGGCAGCAGTGGGAAATACAGTGCCCAGACTATGAAGGATGGGCAGCAGTGGGAAATACAGTGCCCAGACTATGAAGGATGAGCAGTGGTGGGAAATACAGTGCTTGGACTCTGAAGGATGGATGGAGGTGTTGTGCTAAAACTCGTATGCCAGTGGATCATTCGAACTTGATGTCTACGCACTTCTGGCGCAATAGCTGATGAATGAATAATGGTGAATATGTTCGATTTTTTGTGGGTCATCTTACTTTAGTGACATGTCCAGTTAAAAAGAAATTGAAAATGTATTTAAAGTGGCATGTCTGGTTTGCTAAAAGAAATGAATATGTACGGTAAGTCCTCGGCTTACAGACGCATTGAGAATCTTCTGTATTGTTTATCATTATTGTGTAAAATAATATATCGTTATTACACACATTACAGGTCTCCAATGTGTTCGTAAGTCTAGGAATTACTGTATTGAAAGTGCAATAATGTTTCCTGAAGGAAGAATATTCAATACTGTACCCTCTTACAGATCCAAATAGAGAATACAAACCAAAGGTGAAACAGTGGCTGTATCGAAAAATATTTTTAGATGAATTTAAGAGCTTCGAGTATAATGAGTGCAAACGCCACATTGGAGACTTAAGACGCAGTATAGAAAGCGTGATGATTCAGAAGAAGAAGAAAGCACCAAAACCGAAGCCACCAGCTCCTCCCCCGCTACTTCCGGTCAGTCCGCAGAATCTTTACTCTGGGGTTGGGTTCCATCAGTAACAGTAGGAATGGCAACTTTATATGTAGGTAGGCTCAGATTAATGAAAATCACCCCATTGCTTCCAACTAGTTGTGTATTTGTGTTAGTAATAATGGTAGAATTAGCGACAATGTTAGGTTACAAGACACAGAGGCAACTAATGTGATGTTTTGTGGCAATGTTTCACTCTCCAGGAGCTTTGTCAAGGCATTAAAAGTGCCTGGAGAGCAAAAAGTTGCCATAGTAAAATGTCACATAAGTCGCATCTATGTTCTTTTACCCAACATACATGTTTTTTGTCTCCACAGATACTGCAATGCACCACTCGCCTTTTTTCCTTCATCATTTCTATGGTTAACCTCATCCTTCATAAACCTATCTGTTGACAACTCCCAAATATCTGAAAGCATTCACTTCTTCCATACTCCCTCCATCCAATGTAATATTTTTTTAACTTTAGTATTGTATACAGAAGGGGTTACTAGCCCCTTGCTCCCAGCATGTTAGTCACTTCTTATGACATGTATGGCTTACAGAGGAAAAATTCTGTTCCACTTCCCCATAGAGATTAGAGGAAATAAACAAGAACTAGTAAGAAAATAGAAGAAAACCAAGAGGGGTGTGTATATATATGCTTGTACATGCAAGTGGTGTAGTGTAACCTAAGTGTAAATAGAAGTAGCAAGATGTACCTGAAACCTTGCATGTTTATGAGACAGAAAAAGACACCAGCAATCCTACCATCATGTAAAACAAGATATGTATACAGCATCTCCTCACTTTGCTCATACAACAGTTTAGATTTCACTCCATTAATTTTTTTTTTTTTTTTTCAACAAGTCAGCCGTCTCCCACCGAGGCAGGGTGACCCAAAAAAGAAAGAAAATCCCCAAAAAGAAAATACTTTCATCATCATTCAACACTTTCACCACACTCGCACATTATCCGTTAATATTAACATTAAAAAAAAAAATGAGTTTAGAACAACCTTTAACCCGTAAACGGTCCAAATGTACATATACGTTTTTTCCAACATTTGAAAGTATGTAAAAAAAGTAGATCTTTTTGTTTTTTTTTACATTTGAAAATGTGTAAAAAAAACGTAGATCTACTTTTGTAGCGCTACACGTGTGAACGTAGATCTGCTTGGACCGTTTACGGGTTAAATAGGTTTGGCTTCTGAAATGTCCAGTAAGCCTAGGTCTGTAAAAAAATTATTCATCTGACAGGCTTTAGTTGAATTTACAAGGACATGTAAGAGCCTATCCCCTACACTTTTAAAGACAATACTGTATTAGGCTATGTCTTTTAAACACACACAATCCGCACGATGGAGAAAAACTTATGACAACTCTTCGGTCCGACCAGGACCAATAATTAATGGACTGAAACGTCATTGTAAGTTTATATGTGTGTGTGTGTTATTTGTGTATTGTTCCAATCATGTTATTGTTCATTTTTATTCATTATGCCTTTTATAAAAACAAAGCAAAAGTAGGGTTTACTTAGGAGAGTTACAGTTCTTTTTTATTGGTTTCTGGCTTTTTTTTTTTTTTTTTTTTTTTTTTTTACCAGGTGATGCCACAGGATTATAGCATGAACAACCACAGTGCAAACACCGGTGGAGCCACTGACATGAGTAGGACGGCCATGCCGCCCCCGGGAACCATCGTAACAACCACTGCTCACCCACCAGCCAGTACACCACCTGCTGGATACCAAGTATGTCAGAAAAAAAAATAAACACCACATCAGCCATTTCCCACCAAGGCAGGATGACCCTAAAAAAGGAAGAAATGCTCTCATCACTCACTACATCACTGTGTTGCCAGAGGCATACCTCACTAATATGGCACTCGCTTTAGTACCTTGTTAATGCGGCTCTCTTCAATTACATTCATGTTTATTATTTTCGGTGCTTTCTTTGAGGTATCTGTGGAGACAAAGAACGTTATCCATCGGAGGCAAAGGAGGGAATGTACGAGAGTAGTGATACAAACGCTCTTGTATGGGTGTGAAATATGGGTGGAGATTGTTGCAGTGAGGAGAAGGCTGGAGGGCAATATGTGGTGTGAATATTATGCAGAGAATTCATAGTATGGAAATTAGGAGGTGTGGAGTTACTGAAAGTGTTATTCGGAGTGCTGAGGGGTGGTTGGGTCATTTAGAGAGGATGGGGCAAAATAGGATGACTTGGAGGGTGTGTAAATCTGTAGTGGAAGGTAGGATAGAGGTCATCCTAGGCAAGATAGAGGGAGGGGGTATTGAAAGTTGTGTGTGCATGGGGCTTGGACATACAGCAGGTATGTGGGAGCATGTTAGATAGGAGTGGAGATGAATGGCTTTTGGGACTTGATGTGTGATTGGAGTGTGAGCAGGGAAATGTTTTGTGAAGGGATTCAAGGAAACCAGTTAGAGTTGAGTCCTGGAAGTGGTAAGTACAATGCCTGCACTCTGAAGGAGGGGTTTGGGATATTTGCTGTTTAGAGCGACATCTAAACTTACATATTTGCGTGCCTCTGGCAAGGTAGTGAATGATGCCGAAGGTGTTATTTTTCAGGTCAACTTGCCTCAGTGGAAAATGGCCGATGTGTAAATAAAAAAAAAAGTATTCATGATTTTAAAATGCATGACTTTATTGGTTTCTTTACATCTCATGTTCATTAATTTTTTTTACAGCCCAACCTGATGAACCTGGGCGTAGAAACAACCTCCGCCCCAGTGTCGTCAATGGCAGCAATGGGCGCAACTTCCACACTTCACAATTCCCTAGCCACGTATATGACTCAACAGGTACAACCCAACTTGTTGTTTGGCCTAGGACAACAGCAGCAGCCACCACCGGCGCAACAACAGCCTCTCAATTTACAAACGTCGCACCAGAGTCAACCAGCTATGCAAGCCTCCCCACACCAGGCTCCGGGACCCGCGGCTCCTCCAACTGCTGCACCTCCATTGCCACTTAATTTACACAACCCGTATTATGTTTCACTGGGACCTATGTTGCCTCTGCCGATGTCCACACCTCAGCATAATCACCAGCAACAGTTCCAACAAAATATGTTGCAACAGCAACAGGGCATTCCAGGGAGTTTTAACCAGCACACCATGTATCAGTGAGGCAAGGCGGCCCCCAGCCCCACCCACTACCCGTCCCCTGTGCCAGCACAACACCGAAACCAGTATTGTCCATACACACGTATGCCAGCTGTATCTGGCTCTTATCAGTATACCTGGTCTGTGGCATCCCCAGTGGCTCCCAATAACTCGCTGGCTTCAGCACGACAGGTGAACTTCCCGGCACTGTCGTCACAGCCCCAGCAGTGCTACTTGCCAAATTCTGTGGCGCAACTCTCTCCGCAGAACTTCCCTCATGTGGCACCCTCTCTTCGACCTACCACTTCTGATTATCATGTCTGTAATACATTATCTCAACCATTATATCAGAATCAGTGCACAAATTCCTCTCTGTCATCACTTAGTTCAGAACATCAAAAAGTTTCACCCATTCACACTACATCAGCGATGTCACAAACAACACCTCTTTCCACATCATCGTCATCGTCATCATCTCTACCTACCTCACAGCATGTTACATCATCTAACCTAACTTCCACCACACAACAAGTCCTTACTGCCATACCCTCAACAGATGTATTACAGAGTAACTATGCCCCTAAACCAGTGCAACATATCCTTATGGTCACCCCTTCACCTAACACTTCACACAGTAGCTATTCACCCAACATTCACATTTCTCCCACACGACGTGTATCAGACAAAAACAGCTCGGCACTTTCTGCAAGCCAATTAACGAACCAGAAAAGCGAAGCCACAGGCCAAACGTACATGCCAATGTAGATAAAATTTATTGCTATCAAAGTTTTGTATTCAGGCACTTGTTGGAGTACAGTATTCTAAGGTTACAGCTGGACTTAATGAGCTGGGACAATTTTTTTGTGATGTGTCTGGTACAGATAAGGTCAGTGGCCACCTATTTTAACACAGTTTATTTTACATTGGGGACTACGGGGCCCAACTGATTCATAAAACTTGTAGAGTATACTCTCCAAGTCAGGCTTAATGTAAATTTAGTATAAAATGTATATAAGACAGTGGCATAAACAACTATCACCAGACCACTACAATACTGGTTTGTCCTTTGTAATTATTAGAGAATAGGATTTTGTGAAACACCATTGGCCTTGGAAAAAAACACAAATGCAGTGTGATGCAACCCTTTGACTGCATTTTGCCTACACAGTGGGCTTTATCCAATCACAGATTGGATTGAGTCCACTGTATGGGCAATATGTAGTCAATAAAAAATTGCATTATGCTGTATTTATGTTCGTTTTTCCGTTGTGTCAGTATTTTATACCATTTATCTCTACCATTGGCCTCATCAGGCTGATTTTCATATTTTGTCTTGCAAATAGACTGTGTACAAAAGGTAAGATACTTCTTTTATGGTTGACTGGTGTCTCCTCCTTCCTCCCAACCAGTGCACCAAATCCGAACAGGTAAGTTTTATTTGTTCGGTATTCAAAGTGGCCAATTCAGATATATAAAGACATTTATTTTTTTCATATTTTTGCAGTGACAAGTACAGTATTTCATAAGTTGAAAAAACTTTGCATGGGCTTCCCCCAGACCAGGACGTTTTGAGTGTCATTATTGTTGTTACGAGATTAGGAGTGCACGGTATTCAAGGCGATCCTAAGTTCTGGAGCTTGATTATTCTTGTTGAAATATCTGTGATGAATTTCACTCTCTCTCCTTCACATGTAGTCTGCGTTGGGCTTCAGTTCTTTGTCTGAAAATTGAATTCCATAATTGTGATTATACAACACTATGCAGAATTTTTATCTGACATCTCATGTGTATTCTTTGCATTACCTGGGGCAATCCATGACCATTGTGTGATTCAGATGTGCAGCAGGGCCTTGCATATACAGAGCCCTCAGGAGGGCCCCACATATACAATGCCCTCAGGAGGGACCCACATATACAGCACATCTTTTCGGTGTTCCACATTTTCACTGGCTTTCAATTAATTATTCCACTTCCCAGTGACAATCACCGGCAGTTGGAACACGATGAACAAAGGCTCAGTTTGAGGCCAATGAAAACGTCAAACGCTGAAAAGTTGTACATGCTGGGCCTTCTGTATTGAAGGTCACCACAGTACTTTAATCATGGCTTCAGTAAATTAACTAACAAAAATATAGACCTGGGTATTGAGGATGGAATGGTATGTGAATTTTTTTTTTTTTTTTTACATTTGCCTGATTTTTGTTTTGCACAGTACTGGTATATACACTACAGGTGTACCTCGCTTAATGTTGGTGTTGCAGAAGGAAAGCTTTCATAAAGTTTTTTCTTTATACATCTAGTAATTTCTAGAGGAGGAGTTGCTACCCCATTGCTCCTGGCATTTTAGTCGCCTCTTACGACACGCCTGGCTTATGAAGGAAGGATTCTAACCCACTTCCCCATGGAGACAAGGATAATCGAGGCAAATTAATCTTTCGAACTTGTTATATAATCCAAATAATTACAAGTGGGAAAGATATTTGGCCTTACAGACTAAATATTGTACTAATTATTCTGAATAATATTAAGTCATCAAATATAGGTGAGCATGGTGCAAGTTTTATATTAATGGGAATAGTAATGGAGTTTGGGTGAGTGAGAGTGGCATGTCAGGAGGTAGGAATGAAACCTCAAGTCTATCCTGACCTTTATTATGGTGCACAGATTTCTCAGGAGAGAATTATGTATGTGGCATTGATGGTGACCTTAGCATACTGCTGATGGCAGTGGCTAACCTAACCTAACCAGTCATCCAGCTAATCTATGTTCCTCTTACAATATAAAACAAAATCTATTTTCATCTGTAAGATAACATGTTGCTGTAATGTCTCCAAACATTTCCAGAAATATCAAATGTTCTATACCATGTCTTGGCGGAAAAACATGTGGTGTGTGGTGAACAGCCGTCAGTGTTCGAGTCCTCCAGGTAAATGTTGATAATTTAGATAACTCTTAAGTCGAAGAATGAGACACTTGTGTAGCATTCAGGAATCTTCGTTGTGGAAATGTTTTACCAGCCAATGGCATCTTCAGTCCCATACAGAGATGATTGGTGCAAGATGAAAAGAAGTTTGAGGTAATCAGTCCCTCAGCCCAGTGTTTCTGTCCATCAGAATTGATGGATTGAACACATTGACTCCAGGCTGAGGGACTGATTACCTCAAACTTCTCATCTTCCACCGTTCTCTGTACTGGACCAAAGAAGCCACTGGCTAATGAAACGTGTCCTCAGTAAAGATTCCGAATGCTGCACGTTTCATTCTTCAGGCGAATGTTGTCAGGGTGTGCGAGTGTTAAAAGGACGTTGTATCTCAGTAAGTCTGGGATATAAATGCAAGGTAAAGCCTGTCACGATTCATTAAATGGGATACACCTGTATTGAAATCTGACAAGAGCTATTTATTTCTAGACCTTTGCTTTCTTTAATTCTGTGCCTCTGGATTTTGTGGGCATAGAAGTATATTTTAAGCCATATTTGTATAATTTCCAGCACACTCACACATTGTAAGGCCAGGTGGTATTTTAATATATTGTATAGGCTGCATCACTGGTCTATCTGATGTATTACTAATCTGGAGATAAAATTAGGTCATATTTTTACATAGAGTATATCTTGGAAATTTTCAATATTTATGTTTAACAATGCTAGTCAAGGTTTTGTCTCTAAATATACATGGGCATTGATTCACAAATTTCTAGGTAAGATAAGTGGTACTTGACTTACAATGGGGTTACAGTCCGACAAACTCGTCCTAAGTCAAATATGAATGATATTCTGAATAAGTAATAGTCACTGAATAAGTAAATAAATAATTACTGTAACTAAATTATGGACTTGCCACTATGTTGGATAATTATCTTCGTTTCATCTAATTGCTTTTTGCACAATCACAAAGATGAAGTATTTTAAATCGAATCACCACAAGTCGAGGAGCACCTGTATAAGACATTGAGTAGGACAAAGGGGAGAACAATAATGGCAGTATCGTAGAAAGACTTGAAAACTTGTCCGTGATCTCGTAATTTCTACTGTTTAAATTTGTAAGACTTTTACCTAACTGAAAGTAGAGGATTTATAAATGAAAGTTAGCACCAATTCACACATTATCTACATTCCACAGGTATAATCAAAGATCTGAGGTGATGAACAAAAAGGCACAATACCGTGACTGGAACAATTTACAAATACCCCCACATAGAAAAAAACTTGCGATGAGCATTTCCTCGACTATCTCCACTTAATTCTTTCTTCCTCCTCTTTGTCCCATCTCTGCCCTCCACTCATATATATACTGGCACTCTTACCTTTGTGTTAATGCTTATAATTATAACCATGATTTTTAAAAAGGTGAGGGGTAAGCCAGCAGAAGTCCTTGTTCATTTGACCAAAAGCTCCAGCTGTGGGTCATCATATGACTAAGACTTGCTTCAGGAAACACTTGTCCTGTTTCCTGACAAACATTATACCTTAGTGTTAGTGCGTGTGTGACTAGTTAATGGTCCAAGTCGTACTGAAATGTCGTCACAAGTTTCTTTCACCTATGTGCGGGTTATGTATCCTTGATGATCTTATCCTAGGCTCGAAATGGTATTGGAATTGAGTCATACGTATGTAGTTATATTTTTTAAACTAGACTAGCTAGGTAATTGACTATTTTCTTGGGTAAGATGAAGAGGCTGTAAGAGAGGTTGATGTACATCATTTTAGGAAGAATTAGACATGTGCAACATCCAGGTATCTTTATTTGGCAAAACGTCTACAAATAAAGATACCTAGATGTTGCACATGCGTCTTAATTCATCTTGTTGGTATTGTATACCATTCATGTACATTTTATAACTTGTCTGAAAGCAGTTGAAGATTCAAAGTCTATTTCTGCAGCTATGTTTGTATCACTAAAAGCAAATGGATAATTTCACTGATACTGGCTGCTCCTGTTAAGTACATTTGTATAGTATTCCGTGTAAAGAGGATACATATCGGATTCATCTGTTGAAAAGGTTCCGTTTTTGGCTCCTGTACGAGGCAGTCCCACCTTACGAACAATTTGCAGTCTCCCCGTATTAACTTGCGTTCTGTATGTTTCATTTCACGAATAAGTTTTTGTAACCCCGCAGCTCTTGTGCTGAAGACAATCAGATAATGTACAGTGTCATGTCTGATTGCCCCATAATTGTTCCTTGTCCAAGAACATGACAGATTTCAACTTGGTCAAAATTTTCTCTTCGTTTTTTTCGTACAGTTGAATAATGCGTCATTCTTGGTTTCTGAACACTATAGTGCAATTGTGCAAAGAAGCTGCTCATGTTTCATGTCTTGTAAAAGGCGGATCAAATCCTTTTCTACAGTATAGGCGCTCCTCGACTTACGATGGGGTTATGTTCCGACAAACCTATCGTAAGTTGAAAATATCGTAAGTCAAACATGAGTACACCTACCATCCGACTTACGACCGAGTTCGGTTCTGAGAAACCGGTCTTAAGTCGAAATGGTCATAAGTCGAACTGTACTACTGAATATCAACAAAACATTTTTGTAATGACTTTATTGTTTTATTTTGGTATTTCATGTTTTACTTTACTTTTTATGTTGTTAGTACTGTATTTTATACTGTAAGGTTTAGGATAAACACTGTGTACAACACAAATAGTTATTTCCCAGAAATTTTGCATAAAAAACACTGTCGTAAGTCGAGTGGTCGTAAGTCGGATGGTAGGTGTATATGCTAAATAAATAATTACAGTCACTGAATAAGTAAATAAACAGTTACTGTAACCAAATTACAGTATTGAAAAGTAAATAAATATAAGTTAGGGACTAATTATCTTAAGTTCTATCTCCAAAGTAATTGCTTTTGAAATATCGTAAGTCAGGGAGCACCTATATTTCCGAAAGGTACAGGTAATTTAGGTGCAAAAGAGGTACTCCAGATAGGTACTAATACCGAGGTTTATATAATTTTAGAGAAATGATCTACTTATGCCATAGCATGTCGACTAATTTTATTTCCCAAAGTATGGAGAGAGAAACATTCAGATTAAATGTGTGTGAGGCTGTCACGGGTGTTATGCGCATGGTTATATTTTTCTATTAAATGTACATTTGGTGTTACAGTTTGTGGTGGCAGCTACGAGAGTAGTGGCTAGTCAGACCGATAGTAATCTCAACCAGATTTTGTGATAGCTCTTAAGAACAAACTCTTGATTCTTATTGCTCTTTTTCATAGGTTTATGTTAGCATTCGCTGATAAGGAAAAATGCAGGGACTCCTGCCTATCACTTTTTTTTAATGTACAGTAAGTGCTTGACTTACAGACATGTTGAGAATCTTCTGTATTGTGTATATTGTGTATAATATTATATTAGTGTATAATAATATTACATAGTTATTATACATAAATCAGGAGGTCCTCAATATGTTTGTAAGTTGAAGACTTCCTGCACTCCGGTTTTCTTCCCACATCCCAAAGATGTGCATGTTAGGTTAATTGGCACATCTGAATTGACCCCATGTGAGTGAATGAGGATATGTGTGTGTGATCGTGCCCCGCCATGTTTGTTTTTGACCTGCTTACTGGTAGGGGGCACTCCTTACCATTTTTGCTGTGCAAATATTTATTCCTTGATTTAACCCTGTTGCAGTGAGTGGTAAAGGTGCACTGTGCACCCCTAATGTTTATATCAATTAATCTATGGTAAAATTGGTTTTGTTATACATCGTTTTGCTTAAAGTCAGTTTCCAAGAACCCATCAACAATGTTAAGTGAGGACTTACTATACAGTACAGTACAACTTTGTCTTTTCTGCAGTATACACAATGCCACATGCAGTTAGTGTTGAATGAGATTTTGGAATGATCAACAATTTGCAAATGGGCAAAAATATTTACATTGTCTCTTTGGTCCACACAAGGATGTTAACCTCCACACACTGCATCAAAGTATGCAGAACTTTGAACGAGTCAGTGGATTCACAATGGATGGGTACTTGTCGTTTAAGAACAAAAAGGCAAAATACTGTAACTGGACAATACACAAAGAACCTGAAATGTCGTCATAAACTTCCCTGCCCTTTGTGCAGGTTATTTGTATAATTTCATTTAAGATACTCATCATTCTAAGGGTCTTATTTCATGTACAGGTGCTCCTCAAGTTACGATGGGGAGTAAAAAAAAACACAAAACAACGTATCTTGCTTCGCAAGATTGAATTACTGGCAGCCTTTCCCTGTCATCTTCATATTTCCAATTACATTGTCATGTCACTGTCTGACAAACCCAACATGAATATAATAAACTAAACAAGTAAATAAGTATCGTCACTAAAGTAAATAAACAATTAATATAAATACCAGTATTGGAAAGTAAATAAATGAATATAAGTTATGGACTTGCCACTTTCATTTTTTTTTTTTTTTTTTTATTATCACACCGGCCGATTCCCACCAAGGCAGGGTGGCCCGAAAAAGAAAAACTTTCACCATCATTCACTCCATCACTGTCTTGCCAGAAGGGTGCTTTACACTACAGTTTTTAAACTGCAACATTAACACCCCTCCTTCAGAGTGCAGGCACTGTACTTCCCATCTCCAGGACTCAAGTCCGGCCTGCCGGTTTCCCTGAATCCCTTCATAAATGTTACTTTGCTCACACTCCAACAGCACGTCAAGTATTAAAAACCATTTGTCTCCATTCACTCCTATCAAACACGCTCACGCATGCCTGCTGGAAGTCCAAGCCCCTCGCACACAAAACCTCCTTTACCCCCTCCCTCCAACCCTTCCTAGGCCGACCCCTACCCCGCCTTCCTTCCACTACAGACTGATACACTCTTGAAGTCATTCTGTTTCGCTCCATTCTCTCTACATGTCCGAACCACCTCAACAACCCTTCCTCAGCCCTCTGGACAACAGTTTTGGTAATCCCGCACCTCCTCCTAACTTCCAAAACTACGAATTCTCTGCATTATATTCACACCACACATTGCCCTCAGACATGACATCTCCACTGCCTCCAGCCTTCTCCTCGCTGCAACATTCATCACCCACGCTTCACACCCATATAAGAGCGTTGGTAAAACTATACTCTCATACATTCCCCTCTTTGCCTCCAAGGACAAAGTTCTTTGTCTCCACAGACTCCTAAGTGCACCACTCACTCTTTTTCCCTCATCAATTCTATGATTCACCTCATCTTTTCATAGACCCATCCGCTGACACGTCCACTCCCAAATATCTGAATACATTCACCTCCTCCATACTCTCTCCCTCCAATCTGATATTCAATCTTTCATCACCTAATCTTTTTGTTATCCTCATAACCTTACTCTTTCCTGTATTCACCTTTAATTTTCTTCTTTTGCACACCCTACCAAATTCATCCACCAATCTCTGCAACTTCTCTTCAGAATCTCCCAAGAGCACAGTGTCATCAGCAAAGAGCAGCTGTGACAACTCCCACTTTGTGTGTGATTCTTTATCTTTTAACTCCACGCCTCTTGCCAAGACCCTCGCATTTACTTCTCTTACAACCCCATCTATAATATATTAAACAACCACGGTGACATCACACATCCTTGTCTAAGGCCTACTTTTACTGGGAAAAAATTTCCCTCTTTCCTACATACTCTAACTTGAGCCTCACTATCCTCGTAAAAACTCTTCACTGCTTTCAGTAACCTACCTCCTACACCATACACTTGCAACATCTGCCACATTGCCCCCCTATCCACCCTGTCATACGCCTTTTCCAAATCCATAAATGCCACAAAGACCTCTTTAGCCTTATCTAAATACTGTTCACTTATATGTTTCACTGTAAACACCTGGTCCACACACCCCCTACCTTTCCTAAAGCCTCCTTGTTCATCTGCTATCCTATTCTCCGTCTTACTCTTAATTCTTTCAATTATAACTCTACCATACACTTTACCAGGTACACTCAACAGACTTATCCCCCTATAATTTTTGCACTCTCTTTTATCCCCTTTGCCTTTATACAAGGAACTATGCATGCTCTCTGCCAATCCCTAGGTACCTTACCCTCTTCCATACATTTATTAAATAATTGCACCAACCACTCCAAAACTATATCCCCACCTGCTTTTAACATTTCTATCTTTATCCCATCAATCCCGGCTGCCTTACCCCCTTTCATTTTACCTACTGCCTCACGAACTTCCCCCACACTCACAACTGGCTCTTCCTCACTCCTACAAGATGTTATTCCTCCTTGCCCTATACACGAAATCACAGCTTCCCTATCTTCATCAACATTTAACAATTCCTCAAATATTCCTTCCATCTTCCCAATACCTCTACCTCTCCATTTAATAACTCTCCTCTCCTATTTTTAACTGACAAATCCATTTGTTCTCTAGGCTTTCTTAACTTGTTAATCTCACTCCAAAACTTTTTCTTATTTTCAACAAAATTTGTTGATAACATCTCACCCACTCTCTCATTTGCTCTCTTTTTACATTGCTTCACCACTCTCTTAACTTCTCTCTTTTTCTCCATATACTCTTCCCTCCTTGCATCACTTCTACTTTGTAAAAACTTCTCATATGCTAACTTTTTCTCCCTTACTACTCTCTTTACATCATCATTCCACCAATCGCTCCTCTTCCCTCCTGCACCCACTTTCCTGTAACCACAAACTTCTGCTGAACACTCTAACACTACATTTTTAAACCTACCCCATACCTCTTCGACCCCATTGCCTATGCTCTCATTAGCCCATCTATCCTCCAATAGCTGTTTATATCTTACCCTAACTGCCTCCTCTTTTAGTTTTATAAACCTTCACCTCTCTCTTCCCTGATGCTTCTATTCTCCTTGTATCCCATCTACCTTTTACTCTCAGTGTAGCTACAACTAGAAAGTGATCTGATATATCTGTGGCCCCTCTATAAACATGTACATCCTGAAGTCTACTCAACAGTCTTTTATCTACCAATACATAATCCAACAAACTACTGTCATTTCGCCCTACATCATATCGTGTATACTTATTTATCCTCTTTTTCTTAAAATATGTATTACCTATAACTAAACCCCTTTCTATACAAAGTTCAATCAAAGGGCTCCCATTATCATTTACACCTGGCACCCCAAACTTACCTACCACACCCTCTCTAAAAGTTTCTCCTACTTTAGCATTCAAGTCCCCTACCACAATTACTCTCTCACTTGGTTCAAAGGCTCCTATACATTTCATACACTTTCATGTTTCATAATTATCTCAAGTTTAATCTCCAAGTAATTGCTTTTGTACCATCGTAAAGTCAGAATATAAGTTGAGCCATCCTAAGTCAAGGTGCACCTGTACAGTATATTTCGTAGCGATTGGGCATGCCAAAAATTTGTTATTGTTGCCTTTGGTACCAGTATACCAAAATTAACTTTGGTTTTAACCTTGATAGAGTGCAAGGTTTAACATGTTAGCAAGAAGTTGTAGAGTAGTGGTGTTCTTTTCTTGACTGATAACCAATTTTATCCATTTCTCTAAACTCATTCCATAGCCTTAATATCAATCCTTTCCTTATTTAAATACTAAAGTTCACTAAAATCAATAAAATAATGCTATTAAAAAAAAAAATATTTCACCTGTTAAATTGAAATTTGCCCAGAAATTGTTTGAAAATCCTATTTATGGTATTTAATTTGAAAAAAATATCGTATCTATTTCCTGTGTCTGTTCTTCATCCTGATAAATATTGAAGTAAGTTTTTTATACAGTTAAATTTTTGTTGTATGCAACAAACTGCATCAGTTAAATTTGAGATATAAATCACGGAGCACCGAATCTGCATTTGCTGTGTACCAATTGGATGAATTTCTTGTACTGAACTATGTGATCTCTTACCATGTGGGTTTAGGGTTCCCTTGATCATAATAATACAGTACTGCTTATAATACACACAAAATGCTCGAGACTGATACAGATTTAATTTGTCTTATGCGAGGATGAAAGTTCATTAGGAGCAGTATAAATGAAGAGCTTTGAGGATAACACGTTTTGTGTGGAGGTGTTCGGGTTGAAGTTCAGTACTAATTATTCTAAAATATAACAGAGTTGACCAAGTTAAATGCACTTGTCTTTTATGACAGGTTACTGTGGAGATCAGTTCTTGTTGAGCTGTCGTACCTTGTGGTATACGCCATATTACCGGATACTGTTACAGTAATCTCTCTACGTAATGCACTGAGGGGAGTGGGTGGCCAGTAACGGCAGTGGTGTTAGGCAGAGGAGACACTTTTGTTCTGATTGTAACAGTATCGAACAGTTCTGCGACAAGAGTACTTTGTTGTTTCCAAATCTGTTGACCCAAGGAATTACATGCCTTATTTCCAAAGTCAGTTATATAGAAGTGGTTGAAGAGAGATTGTTATTGTTACAGTCACGACAAACAGTTCTAAATTCAGAGAACTTTGTCCATTGTTTACAAACCTACTGATCCAGCAGATTTTATTCCATATTTCTGGTCGGTTAAGCAGAGGTCCATCAAATGGAGGACTTACCGAAATTTTTTATTCCTTTGTAGGCATAGAATAGGATTAGCAAGTTTAAAATGCACGGTGCAGCTCATTTCCAAGTCATAATTTTTTTTTTTGTAAATTCTAAGCCTTTATTTTTCTTGCATAGTTATGTCACAAATGCTGTACTGTGCAAGCCTATCATTTAAGATTTTCTTGGTTGTGAAAATGTAATATTGTATTTATTAATAACCAGTGGGAAGACTGTTACATTTACCCATAAAAGATTTTTTTTTTCAACACGCTGGTCGTCTCCCACTGAGGCAGGGTGACCCGAGGAAGAAACATTTTCACCATCATTCATGCTATCACTGTCTTGCCAGAGGTGCTCAGATTCGACAGTTTAGATATCACTCAACAGCCAATATCCCAAACTCCTCCTTTAAAGTGCAGTCATTATACTTCCTACCTCTAGGACTCAAGTCTGGCTAACTGGTTTCCCTGAATCCCTTCACAAAATACAGTAGTCCTCCCAAATTTAAATCCTAAATGTGCCCCCCAAAACACTTTAATTTCAAACTAAGCTTCATACATCACCCTTAAAAAAAAAACATGTAAAGATAAACCCATATACAGTACTGTACTGCTGTCTCCTGCAGTGCTAGAATGTAAAATGCCAATGTTACCCCCATATGTACTGTAATTTATGTAAACCCATTTTCTTTGGTATACTGTAATTCATGCAAACCCTGTTTTCTTTGATATACATACGGTAAATATACGGCAATAATTTAATTTAGTAAAAGTAAAGTTAATGTACGGGTACTCACCAATAATATCATTCTTTCTACCGCAATAAAAAATTTATACAGTATTTTATTTTATATGGAAATTTTACTGAATTTACGTTAATATTTATGTTAGAAAATTATTAAATTATATTTTTCTTAATATTTAGCATTAAAATGCATAAAAAATTATACATTGCCACGAAAAAAGCCAAAAAAATTCTGCGAATTTACAGGGATTTCCGCGAACAATTATTAGTTAGGGTCTAAGGAAAAATTCGTGAATTATTGAAGCTGCAAATTCAGAACTATGAATTTGCAGGGTCCATTGTATTACCCTTCTTGCACTCCAACAGCACATCAAGTCTCAGTTGCTACTACGGTAAGACCACCGTATCCGTGGGTCCAGCTTCTACAGTGTCATCCACTGTTTATCCTGGCCCGAAAATAACCCTTAATTTTCCTCAATAATTGCCCCAAAGTGCAAAAGCAATGATGGTGGCAGTTTTGCAAAGCCCAAGATAAGCCATAAAAAAGTGCTAATTCTTGACTTTTTGTGAATACGTAATTTATCAATTACACTATCATAGGTACTGTATGTAGATGAAAACAACTTATATGTTGGGTTTGCTACTATCCATGGTAGGCCTTGGAACTTATCCCCAATGGATACAGGATTCTACTGTATACTGACGTGTATAAGAACGGGGCAACAGCTGGGAGGAGACCTGCCCGTACCTCATCCCATACATCTCGTTTAAACACTGGTTCACTTTTTGTTATTAATCCTCAACGTTTTCAATTAAACACTTGTCAATGCTCAATAATAACCCACATGAGGACAAACACAGAAGATTAATTGATTTCTATATTTCCATTCCCTTCTGGGCTCCTCTTCAACTGCTGGAGAGGATCCCAGAAGGT